CGAATCGAGCTTGTAAACCCAAAAGGCTTAATATTTTAATATTTTGATTATTTAAATGAGATTTGGTCAAGGATTTATTCAATAAAATATTTTATGAAGGTACTCGTGTTTCACTTGAGGAAGGATCAATTAGGTCCGGTATTATCCGTTCGTTAGATCAGCCTGAACCGCGTACTACGAGAATTACCAGTAGGTTTCCGTATATTATTTAAATAATATTTAGATTATTTATATTAGGATTCCAATATGGATTTTTCCAATTCGTAGGATCTAGCGCTGCAACAGAACGTGATCGACATACCCAGTAATAGGCTACCCTATCTGATTTCTTAGACTGTTACAGGTGTGTTTCCCGACAGTGTTAATTATTTCTGTTTTAAAATATATATCTGAACATTATGTATATGACATCTGATTTGCCACATATTTCTGATATGATTTCTGGTTACGGTATTTTATACCGATTTTCTGAATATTGAATATTCGATATCTGAAATTCTGTATACTACTGACTTGTCTTCTGATTTCCGTATTTCTGTATATTATTGTTAAGCATGAACACTTTTATGTTTTAAAGATTTAATCATTGTTTTCATTCAAATACATTCATGAACATCTCCATCATTGGGGGGTATTGTTGAAGGAAGTATATCCGCAGGTTCCTCGGCTTTGTGCTCAGGGCCTTATTTGTTGTGTGGGCTGGGTGTATGGTTCTGGGGAACCTACACATTCTGTTGTGATGGGCTGGGGGTAGTGTTCATATTTTTTTTAACGACATGATTGCATAAACCGACTTTACTGGAATATTTTTATCAGTATGTTTTTATATACACTGTATGGAACACACTGGGCTTTTTAGCTCATTCTGTAGTTTTTATTTTTTTTCAGATAACAGCAGACCATAAGCTACCAGATTTGGCATCAGGAGAAATCAACTACTTTATTTTGTACGAACATATATTTCTATATGTTTTTCAGTTATGTTTGGTGACATGTATTTTATTATCGTTTTGGACATATCTGTATTATTAATATTATGTTCTATATTATATTTAACGTTCTATAAGTGAAAAAAAAACCTCTGAATGGGATATGTGACCCGCTTAGGTTTGGGTCTATCTTACAGACCGGGTCTGGGGGGTTACATATAAAATTTAATAAAAAAAATTAAGACGATGGTCTTTTTTATGGGGAATATATGAAAACGCTTGTTCACTGACAAGGAGTGTGTTTCCGAGGATTGTTCTTATAAAAGAATATCCTTTTAAAAATCTTTTATTTAAAGAAAATGATCATAATTTACATACCATTTGAAGTTATAATTTTCAAATATAAAGATGACGTGTAATCGGTAGGTACCAATCTTGGGCATTGTGAGAGTGTTCAACCTTCCTTATGCGTAACCGACTCTCGAGCCCTTTTCGAAATGATTATGTAGTTAAATGCATATCAGTTTCCATCTTTTAATATAGTTTTTCTTAGAATTATTTTAAAAGATACTTTTAGGTATTCGACCTACCTATCCTAAAGGTCGATGGCTACTCTAAATTTATTTTTTAAACATTAGTTCTTAAAATTAAGTTAGATCGATCCCCACCAATAGACCCTAAAGTTCAAAAATCTTAAGGATCATTCCGACAATACTTTGATAAAAGATTGAGTATGGAAGTCCTAAATTTGGTGATGAGATCGTCGACTAGCACCTAAGAACCTGTGCACGGAAACACATTCCATACGCTGAGCTCACCAACTTAGTGCCATACAAATAACCCTATTTTACTACATACATCCAACATATAAGCATGCTACAAGTATGGTTATGAACACTTGCATACACTATTAAAACAACAAAAGTAAGCATCATGATGTAGCTCGGGGTCATTTAGCATTACAGAACTCACACCCCTTTTTGCTTACTAAAGAACCTTAGGCGAGACATGGGTCACAAAGCATTAGTGTCTCCCTATTCTTTAACCTAGGTCCGGGTCACATAGTATCGGAACCTCACTCAACTAGTCTACTCCTCTAGAGTACTCAAGATATGGTTGGGTCACATAGCATCGACACGATATCCAACTAGCATTTAAAGTGCACCAGCACTGGATTGAATGTATCCGAATAATCCCTTCTTAACTATACCAAAATCGTACATAAGTAACTCGGGTGTCCTCAATGTTTTCTTAAGTATCAAATAAGACATAAGTCTTATGGAATCTTAATTCATAAAGATCTTGTGATGTCATACAATTAGTTAAGGTTTCCACTTGTAAGTTATTAGAACTCCTTGGTTTCATCTCTCAAAACCATACTAGGCTTAAAGCCTAAAACTTCAGGATGGTACTGATATTTCTCCTTAGGTATCGGTATTCCCCTAAGGAGTATTGATACTTCTTTATGGGTATTGATAATCTTCTCACAAACCCTTTCAATTTTGCCTATCCACGACGAACAGTATCAATATTGTTCTTATAATATCGATACCCTATGTATAGGAAACTTTGTTTCACTCATCTAAAATCTTCCAAAACACTCCTTAAGTTCCCCAAGACCCCCAAATAATGTTTAAAGCTTATTTAGTACTTAAAGGTCATAAAAGGTTATCATTTTATGCATGAACAACAACAAATTCTCGTTTTCATGTTTTCCCCCAAATGCACCCAAATATTTCATAGACTAATACAAGCACCAAAACTACACACGATGATCTACAAGTAATAAGGAAAGGTTAAAAGTGTGTTACTTTACACTTACGTGATGAAGAGACAACTCAAGGCTCACCCAAGCACCACTTTCTCTTTTTCCTTGCTTTTGGAGCCTTCACCCACTTCTCTCAATATAACAAACAATGGTAGGGATTAAAAGTTCATCTAGAAGACTTAAGTGAGGTAGAAATATAATTCTAAACATTAAAACGAATTGAAATTACCTTAATACTTTCAAAACACAAAACCTTCATTAAACCCCCACCAAGGCTACTGCAACCATTTGGGGCGATAGAGAGCTAAAAAAAGCTCTAGGAATAGGGATTAATCTATTACCTTACCAAAAATCAGGTCAAGATTAGAGTCCTACAAGCTTCCATCTTTGACAACTTATAAGATGAAGAGAAGAAGATTGTTTTAAAAGAATAAAGAAGACAATAATGAATGGGTGATTTCTAATGGGTGAAATAAGCTCCATAAAAGAAATTAGCCTTTAGAAGAGTTTTGGGGAAATTTACTTCTTTAGACCTTCCTTAATTACCTTCAATTCAAAAATGCTCATTTTAATTCCTCTTGGGCTCAACCCAAGCCCAATTCATCATATACATAGACCAAGGTCTCATATTAACTCATTAAGTTTTCCCATTATTCCTTCTTGGGTTAGCCCGAAACCGCTACCTCGAAAATCAAGGTGTTACAAACGAGGTCAACGATGAAGACAAAGTTGATCTATTAACATCATACATAACCGAAGAGAAATCAACTAGTTTCGAATATGATGATAAGTTCTTAAGAGACACCATTTTGAAAATGATGGTTACATTGAGGGACAAAATTAGCTCTGCTATCACTTGGTCCATCTGGTTGGTTTCGAGGCATCTAGTAGTAAAAAACAAGATCATAGAAGAGCTCGAATAAAGAATTCTTAAAAATCAAACTTGATAAAGGAGGTTGTTCGAAGTCTAGGAGGTGAAGGATTTGGTTTACCTACATGCAACATTGTGTGAGGCGCTAAGGTCGTATCCACCCATTCCCTACAACCACAATGAACCTCTAAAATCATACGTGCTTCCAAGGGGCATCTGATTCACCTGAAGATGAAAATATTGATTAATTCGTATTCAACAGGGAGGATGAAGTTTGTGTGGGGAGAAGATTGCTTGAAAATTCAAGCCTGAAAGATGGATTGACAAGGGAAGAGGGATTAAGCAAGAGCCACCGTACAAGTTCTTGTGTTTAGGGGAGGACCGATGATATGTTTAGGGAAGGAGATGGTTTTTTTCAAATGAAAGTTTGTATTGGAAGAAACTTCCTAGGTTGTTCCGGCAATATCTGTTATCATGCACACCAAAAATGGACTAATGGCTAGAACCTCTGTCAGAAGAGACTAAACCAATTTCATAAATCGATTCTAGTGGTAAAGAGAATGTTGTTTTCCTTAAGTAACTCTAGTTTAATTAAATTTAACCTCACACGTAAACAATATTTTATAATTAGGTTTCTTTTCAAAAAAAAATGTTGAATAACTAGAGTAACATGAATAGTTAAGTTTAATGTTAATGTTTGTTGGTAAATATAATACTGCAAAACATGACCTTAACAATAGTTATAACAATAAATTAAAAATGATTAAAATGTTTTTATATAGACTTATATAGATTAATTTCTAGTTTACTTAAAATGTAAAACTGGAAATTTTAACTAGGGTAAATTTAACCATTAGTAGGCAAATTGTGTGTACCTCTTGGGTGCTAAAATACATAAAACCATTGATAGATAAATTTTGGTTATATAAAGGGTTTTAAAGAATATCCGGTTTTTAATAACATTTTAATTAAACTATATATTAATCTACCTACCTACCTACCTATATATACACACACGAGATTCATTCATTTATCTAATTATTATGGGTATTTTTGTCATTTTATTTTTATTTTATGCGGGTTTAAATTTTAATATTTATTGTAAAAATATAATATATTTCAACTTAATAAAAATAGTAGTCGGATCGATTTCACTGAGTGTGGAATTAAACTTTAAAAAGGAGATAAAAAAAGTTAGTTGAATAAGGTAAAACTCATTTTTAATTATTTTGTTTATTTAAATGTTACTGAACCCTATTAAAACAAAATATTACTGAACCAATTAATGGATCTGATTCTCACAACAAACAAAGTGAATCGAAAGTTGGGCCTCTGGACAGAAAGCGAGCAAAGGAAGCCCAGTAGCAGCAGCAGCAACACTCAGAAACGTGTTATGGCCCTACTTGTTAGGGTTTCCAGCAGAAACTAGAAAGTAGAAAGAAAGCAGAAAAACACTCGAGAGAAGAAGAAGAAGAAGAGAGAAGAGAGTTTTTGGTTCACTTGGATTGGTTTTAAAGTTTTAGATCATTACCAAATCATAAATCATGCACACCCCAGTTCTCGTTCTAAGTATGTTCCTTTTGCTTTTATCGCATTTCAATCTCATATGCTCCCTTAATGATTCAAAATGTTCCTAAAAATCATTGATATATGCAGAGGATTCATTGAAGCGGGAGTCTGGGACCAAGGTTCACCATGCTAATATCCAAGCCTCTAAGGTGATTTCCTTCATTCTTTTTTTTAAATCTTTTATTCTTATGCTGTGTTTACTTACTTTGCTTCAATCTGAAATCAAATTGAGAAATAAGCTGTTTAAACTAAACAAAAAATGTGTAAACCCAAACTTCAAAGTTTACGAGTAATCGATGTAGTTTCCTTTTTGTTGTTGTTGTCTGTAAATGTTCACTGACCAAAGAAACTTTTCAGGCCGTTGCTGACATTATTCGAACAACCTTGGGTCCTCGATCCATGTTGAAAATGCTCCTTGATGCTGCTGGAGGTATCCCTTTTGTGCCCCTTATATTGGCATTTGTACCTGTTATGTTTGACACAATTTTAACCTAATTACATTTCCATTGCTGCTGTTTTTGGACAAATATTTTTTAGACCCTTTAAAAGCACTCTGCGTGATCACAATTAATAAAAGTCAATCATGATTTTGGTTTGGTTTCTACCTACCAGGTATTGTTGTTACCAATGATGGAAACTCAATTCTACGTGAGTTAGATCTTGCACATCCTGCTGCAAAGGCATGATACCCCACCCTGCTTCTCTATTTCATAATGCTTCTTTTCCCATTATCGGTCTTATTTTCATTCTTGCTTATCTGATTTAGTTGGTCATGGCAGTCTATGATTGAATTAAGCCGGACACAAGATGAAGAAGTTGGAGATGGAACAACATCCGTCATTGTTCTTGGTATTTCTTTGTACAGCTCAGTTTGGTTTGTGTGCTATGTTGACTTTTCTTTTTGCGTACTATAGTTTGTATTGGAATGTTATTCTTTTATACACGTTTTATTGAGTTAATTCCCAATGGATTTTAATGAGATTAGCTTAACGGTTGGAATCAGACATTTCTTGAATGATGTTTATTACTTCATGTTCACGCTCTCATCCTATTTTATTTTTTTGATGGTATAACTGACATCACATGTTAAGATACCATTGCATTTTGTGCTTATATTTGGTGTATCTTTGGCTGTAGCTGGTGAGATGCTTCACGTTGCAGAAGCCTTTATCGAAAAAAATTATCATCCAACAGTAATTTGTCGAGGTAATATAACTTAGAAGTGCTGCTAGATTCTTAGCTTCTTTAGAATCATAACTTGGCATTTGATGAAGAGCCATTTTATTTGCAGCGTACAATAAGGCATTGGAGGATGCTATTGCTGTGCTTGACAAGATTGCAATGTCTATTGATGTGAAAGACCGTATGTTTCTCTTGGACAATTTTTCATAACAAAATTTCTAGCTGTTTCTGCATTTGTGTATGTGGTATTTGCCTACTTAATTTCTTTGGCATGCTTCACATTATAACATGTGGATCCAAATAGCAGGTTCAACAGTGTTAGGGCTTGTGAAGAGCTGTATAGGGACAAAATTCACTAGCCAATTCGGCGATCTTATTGCTGTGAGTGGCTTCTTTCTTATGGGGCTTTTTTCTTGTTTATTTTGATTTTGATTACTGCGATAATTTGCATAGACCATTATGTTAGCGTATCTGACCATCCTGGTACTTCATTATTTATCTGTTTATTAAAATATGAATAAAATTTTAATGTTCATATTCCAAAAGGTTAACAATAAGTTGTTCAATATGAACAATAAAAAACAAATAAAATGTATATGTTTGTTAATGTTACTAAATGAAATGCATTTAGTGATTGAAACTGTCTGAAACAATATCCCTACTAAAAACAGGAGGAGGGGCACAGGCTAGATTTTGCAATGGCCTTTTTACATATCACATCTGGATAAATGAAAATTGGTGTTCCTCAACTCACTCAGTTTATTAGTTTATATTTCCTTCAGTTTTGCTGCAACATAGTTCAGAATCTATCTATTTAGCAATCATCTATGTTCTGTGCAAAGTACTTTCGCAATTTTCATGATAATTTTATTTGATTCAAAATAGAAGTGTTAAAAATGAAGTTGAAAACTTTGTATCATACTTTTTTATCTACTTAATTGTTTAACTTCCAGGATTTGGCAATTGATGCAACTACAACTGTTGGAGTTGACCTTGGCCAAGGGCTGAGAGAAGTTGATATTAAAAAGTACATTAAAGTAGAGAAAGTACCTGGTGGACAATTGGAAGATTCTAAGGTCCTCAAGGGAGTGATGATCAATAAAGATGTAGTTGCACCTGGGAAAATGAAAAGAAAGATAGTCAATCCACGTATTATTCTTCTTGATTGTCCCCTCGAGTATAAGAAAGGAGAGAACCAAACAAATGCAGAGTTGGTTAGGGAAGAAGATTGGGAAGTCCTGTTGAAAATGGAAGAAGAATACATTGAGAACCTTTGCATGCAGATTCTGAAATTCAAACCAGACCTGGTGATTACAGAAAAAGGGCTTAGTGATTTGGCATGCCATTATCTGTGTAAGGCTGGTGTAAGTGCAATTAGGAGGGTGAGAAAGACAGACAACAATAGAATCGCAAAGGCATCTGGAGCTGTTATTGTGAATCGCCCTGATGAATTGCAGGACTCTGATGTTGGTACTGGAGCAGGGTTGTTTGAGGTTAAAAAAATTGGGGATGAGTTCTTTGCATTCATTGTTGATTGCAAAGATCCAAAAGCCTGTACAGTTCTTCTAAGAGGTGCTAGTAAGGATCTCCTGAATGAGGTGGAAAGAAATTTGCAGGTAAGTGATTTGCTGTGCAACTTCTGTTTGTTAAATGGAATCAAGTTCTGAAGCTTGTTTATTTTCCTTTATTCTGGTCATTGTTCTGAGGCAAGTTTCAATTACAGGATGCCATGTCTGTGGCAAGAAACATCATCAAGAATCCAAAACTTGTTCCTGGTGGTGGTGCAACAGAATTAACAGTGTCTGCTACTTTGAAACAGAAGAGTTCATCTGTTGAAGGCATAGAAAAGGTGAGCATTAATGCCAAGCTTTTGAGTTACATGATTTGAATATGAAAACTTGTCTGGATATTTGAATATATACTTGCAACCCTTTTTGATTTTTTAAAATGTTTTTATATTCACTGGATATGTAACAGTGGCCATATGAAGCTGCTGCAATTGCTTTTGAAGCAATACCACGTACTTTGGCACAGAATTGTGGAGTTAATGTGATTCGAACCATGACTGCTCTTCAAGGGAAGGTATGAATGTTTCTAGTGTGCGGTTTATGCTTTTGAAGATGCCATTATCCTTATCCCTTCTGTTTCTGTTTTCTCAATATGTGATTTAAAGCATGCAAATGGTGAAAATGCATGGACTGGCATAGATGGGAACACTGGTGCTATAGCTGACATGAAAGAGAGCAAGGTGTGCTTTTTTCCGTAATTGACTGCACTATTGGCCTTTAACTTTTTCCATAATTCCACTTCTCTGACTGAAGTTCTCATTGTTGCAATTTTCATCCGAAACTATGATTTGTCAAACAATTGTCCTATGAGTCTAAACTTGCTGTATATGTCCAGAAAAATCCTCGTATGAGAAATCCTCTCTCTCTCTCTTCTTGCCAAGACTTTTAGACTAGTGACCAAGATGAGTGGGTAAAGTGATGATATCAAAATACGAGGGTATAAGTTTGCATTGTTTATGGGCTAGTTTGAGAAAACAAAGGCAAATGAAGCTTTGGGATGACTTGAGGCAAAATAGAATTTAGACTAGTTTTTTTTTCGAGAGTGGATGGAGAATGAGAACTAACCATTCTTTTAGATGATAGGACATAGTGACATCTGCATGTCATCCTATTGGCCTTTGATTTAATAAACATCCCTTGTGTTCCATTCTCTTTTCTTTATAATTAGTTAAAGAAAAGGGCAGATATTTTGATCTTCTCAACTCTCTTTTCTCAATGATCATATTTGAATGTAGTGAGTAATACTAAAAGAGTTGCTTGGTTTTTGGTCAGATATGGGATGCATACAATGTAAAGGCACAAACTTTCAAGACTGCCATAGAAGCGGCTTGCATGCTTCTAAGGATCGATGACATAGTAAGCGGGATTAAGAAGAAGCAGGCTCCTGGAGCCGGACAAGCTCCAAAACCCAAGGTTGAGACCGAAGCAGATGCAGATGGTGAGCAAATTTTACCCGACTAATTTTTTGATGCAACTGGTATTTCCAGATAGAAAGTGATGATTATGGACTGTAGGGGATTTTGTTGTGAGCATTCTATTTGCTGTGATGTTCTAATCTGTGTTTTGTACTTTATATTGTTGGATTAAATATCAGCTGTTACCAAGTTTTAAAGTGTTTTCGTAACACAACCATCTTGTTGGCTGGGAGGGTTGCCTGATTGTCTTTTTTTACGAGTTTAGTTATCAATAGTTAGGTTGGTCAGTGTAGTTGAAATTTCTAAGATTTGAATCAGATTAAGTATTTGTTTGGATAACCAAAAATGAAAAAAGATGCTTAAGAATGCTTATTAATTTAAGATGTACAATTTTTATTATGTTTTCATTTGTTGTTTGGGTTGTTCGAATTCTTTATCCAAATTACAGGATTTTTTGAACAGTTTTCTAGTTTTATTTCATTTAATGGGCTCACTATAAAATTAAAATTTAGCTTAAAAATATTATTTTTTTAATTTTATAATTAAAAATATTTATGTAATTTTGTAGTTTTATTTCATTTAATGTAATCACTACAATTAAAATTATTTATGAATTTTTACAAATATGATATTATCCATATTTTATATATTTTACATTTACGATTGCTTTAAAATATAATGGATATTATTTTGAGAATCGTTTTTATTCTGTATTTTTATAAATCTTTACATTCAAATAAAACAGATAAAAATCACTATTTGGAGTTGGAGCATTCAATTGGGTAATTTGGTTAATTGATTAAATCGAATTACTCGAATTTTATTAATTCGGTTAAAATTAATATTTAAATGTCAAGTTATATTATATAATATATTAAATATTTAATAATTTTGGTTAATTTGGTTAATTCAGTTAATTAATCGATTTTGAATTGAATTAACTGAAATCGAAATTCAAAAAAAATCATCCATCGTTAACTGACTGAACTCAAAATTAACCTACTGAAATTTCGGTTTGATCGGTTAATTCGATTTTAACTGAATTATGAACACCCTTAATTTGGAGTTTGAACGAACTTCCGTGTATATAACTTCTACTTTTTCTCGAACCAACAGAGGCTAAAAAATTAAACCACCTCAATTATAAAAAAAATTATTGTTGTTCCTTGAAGTCTCTGATTTGAATACCATAAATATTAGGGTGAAGTCTCCGATTTGAACATCATGAATATTAGGGTTATGAACGTTTGATGTTAAAAGATTGAGAGTTATCTTTAAAAGGATATTATCTTGTATTTATCCCAAATTTAAAAGGATATTATCTTGTATTTATCTCAAATTAATAAAAAATACTTTTAAAAATATATTCACTAAATTTAATTTGACACCAAGGTAAAGTTAATTAGAGAATGATCAAAACATCTTAATTTATAAAGTATAATCAATATTATTATAAAAACCAACAACTAGTTGGTTTAGTGAGATGATGCACTAGGTCCCTTACGTAAGGTTAGAGGTTCGAATCCTAGCGTTTGCGAATGGAGCAAATTGGGTTAGGAGGGTTGTCTTCGCCTCTGCAGTACTCGAATTAGATTAGTCGGTCAATAAATCGGATACCCATGATTAATTTAAAAAAGTATTATTATAAAGGATGCATTTTTTTTCAGATAATAATATATAATCTCTAATAACGTAAAATTTTGGAATAATATTAACTTAGGTAATGTAATATTTCATAGAAATGTACTATTTATTCCTTAGATTTATTATTTTATTAGCTCCATAAAAATTGAAATAAATTAAGATTATAGGTGTATAAAATTTAAATATAAAAAAGATACAAAAATGGATATTAAATTATATATATCTTATTTTGATTTGAAAATAGTTAATTCGAGATGAGACAGGTCCCATACAGAGTTGTTTGAAATAATATTAGTGCAGGACACACCAAATAATTTAACAACAATAATCTCAAAAAGCCATTTTGGGCACAAACGTTAAAATGAAAATGTGAAACTTCTGATTCTCACACGCACTGTGATAAGCATAAAACCCTGAAACTCTATTTGTCGCAACTACAACCAAAAGTTGTTTTAAAATCCATGGTCTTGACATGTTACAAAATGCAATTACTTGATTCAGACATTCAAATTGCAAAAGGAACAAGGTTGGTTAACATAAAAGACAGCCTTGGTGTTTTTTTCAGCATTTGATTGCTCGATTGAATAGCATTCTAAACTAGCTAGTTTGATTCAAAACTTGGGCTCCAGCTCTCGCCATCGGATCATCCTTCAACTCTGTTTCCTCGTCTTTCTCCCCTTGTCGTCCTCCAACAATTTCTTCCTATGCAATTCCTCTGCGGCACGCATTACGGCCTGGATCCGCTCGTGTTGTTGCCGCTCAAACCATGTGTCCGCATCAGCCCAAACTGCATTTTGTACAAAAGGAGGCATTAACTTAAAAGCAGACATTTCAAGAAAACAAAAAGGTTGCACTGGTTTGGTTTTATTATGGCGTCCATCGCTTACTGTTCAATTGCTTTCATTTTTTGGTCTGGTGCTTTTGAAACTTTCTATTTTACCGAGCTACATGGGTGTAGTGAGCGTCAACGACACCGAGATACCTGGGCGTTGTTTGATCGCCTCCGCTCTCATTCCTCTCAGCCGTAGCTTGTAGAGGTATTTTAAGATTCTCACTAATTCGGAGAAAACTGGTGGTCGTCACCGTTATAGGGCATAAGGGCTCTCCGTCATCATCCTAAATATGTGAACGCCTGGACCAGTTTGTCACCTTTTCTGAATGGCGTAATCTTTACCTGAATAAAGTGGTTACAAGTGAATTCACTTCTGATTCGGACCATTGTTATATCCTGCTCAATACGTCTTCTTTGCCAACATCCATCTCTCATCTTCATCCGGACTACTTCAATTTTGATACTGTTGGAGAGCTGATCCGCTGTGTGTAGCTAAAGTACGTGTGGTCTGGAACTATTCTGAGGAGTCGGTGCTGCCCAAAATTGCTGATGTTGGTAGCGTGTTAAAAGATTGGCAATGTGTAAAGTTTACTGAAAATAAGGGTCGTGTTGTTGAGCTCCGAGAGTAGATTAATAGGCTTCTACGTGGACCAATGACAGGTGTAGATTTGAATCAGTTTGCTTGTATCAAACAAGATCTTCATCAGAGGCTGAATTCCACGAAAATATTTTGGCGACAAAGATCCCAGATTAATTGGCACGCTCACGGCGATTATATCATATTTCCATGCCCGTTCGACTAAACGTCGAAAGCGCAATAATATCAAGGGACTTTATTCTAACTCTGACCTTTGGGTTGATGATTTGGAAGACATTCATGCTACGACTATGGGATATTTTTCCAAACTCTGTATGTCACCCTCTCCTCCTCCATTGGATTTCCTTCTCTCCATAGTCACATCAGTTGTCACCGAAGCCATGAATGGCTGACTACTTACTAAGTATATAAAGGAGGAGACCCATTCTACTTTTCTTCTTCAAATACACCCTCATAAGGCATTGGGGATTGATGGATTACCAGGAAGTTTTTATAGATCCTTTTGGCCTCTAATTGGGAATGATGTCCAACTTGTCTTAGATCTTATCCATGGTTGTCAATTTTTGGTTGATGTAAATTGCACTTTGTTGGCGCTTATTCCTAAAGTTGTTGAACCAGAGTATATAACTCAATTTCGTCTAATTACACTCCGTATTGTTATTTATAAAATTATTGTTAAAGTATTGGTTAATCGCTTGCGCCCATTATTATTCGATTGCATTGATGATAATCAAAGTGCATTTATTATAATAGATTGATTTCGTATAATGTCCTCATTGCTCATGAATTGTTTAATCATTTAAAGCATGTCACTGGTGGCTCTTCTCGGGGTGCTACCTTAAAGCTAGAGACGAAAAAGGCATGACCGGGTGGAGTGGAGGTTCCTTTGAGCTATACTTCGATTAGGATTTGCTGAACAATGGGTTTCATTGATAATGTTATGTGTCACAACTGTCTCGTACTAGGTTCAAATTAAGGGTTGTCTAAATGATTGTTTTAGCCGTCTCATAATCTTCCACAAGGTGATCCTCTATCCCCATTCCTCTGTGTATTATGTGCTCAGGGGCTTTCATCGCTGTTACATTGGGAATATAATCATAATTGTATTCAGGGTCTTCGTTTTAGTCGACATGGTCCGCGTATCATCCATCTTTTCTATGCGGATGATTGTTTGTCGTTTTTGCGCAACTCAGAATCTTCATTTGCTCGTGTTCGTGATATTCTTGCTTTATATGAGCACCTCTATGGTCAAAAGGTTAATTCTGCTAAGTCCAGCATTTATTTCTTTCCATCAACAACTCCTTCTCTGCAAAATCATCTCTGCACTCTAGTGGGTGTTTCCTCTATTGTTGATCCGAGTATGTATCTTGGGATGCCTCTAATTGTCGGTCGAAATAAGACTCAGGCTTTTGGGTTTCTTCGTGATAAGGTTTCTTCAAGAGTCCAGAGTTGGACAAAGAATTTAATTTCCTATGGCGGTTGTGTCGTTTATGTTAAAGCGATGGTACAAGTACTTCCAACCTACGTCATGGGCTATTATTTGATTCTTGGGGTGCTTTCTGACATCACTACTCTTTGATCTTTTTGGTGGACTGGCGATACATCATCACGGGGATAACCCCTTGTTGCATGGCAAACGCTTTGTCAACTAAAGCGGTTAGGGGATAGCCCCTTGTGGCATGGTAAAGCTTATTTACGGTAATTTAACATTTACATTTGGGATTTCATTGGAGGATCGGTATTGATAGCATAATCCCTTTGCATCGTGCTAACTGGGGTTGGACTCATCTTCAATCTTCATATGTTGATAGTACCCCATGTGGAGATTTTATGCTCCCTGCTACTCCACACTGAAATGCTCATTTGATTGAGTAGGTATTCACCGTTGAGGATGCCCAAGTCGTACTTTAATGCCCTATTTCCCCTGTCTATCATGATGAGCTTGTTTGGAGTGGACATTCTTCGGGTATTTATTTGGTGCGTTCGGGTTATAAATGGGTGGTTAGACAACACATGCCTGAGGTTGGTCATTCCTAGATTTGACTCTATCTTTCGAGGTTACCTACGATGCCTCAATTTTTTGTCTGGTTGGTGCCACCAGTGTTTTGTGTTGCTTGTGTGGTTCAGCGGAAGAGATGGTCTCGCATGTTTTGCGTGACTGTCTATCTGTTTCTCCAATCTTAGTGGAGGCTGGATTTCTGAACATACTGATTCCTATGGGGTTTTCTTCCTTTGGCGCATGGCTAGAGCACCCGATGAATTCTTTATCTGTTCACCATTTTGTTACTCTTCACGTCTTACTTATATGGCATCGAAGAAATCCGCTCTTCCATGAAGGTCGTTTGCTCCTAGGACGGCAATTGATTGTCTAAGGTGTTGCTCTTCAATCAGCGTACAACAATGTGCAACTGTTGAAAGTATTGTTAAAAGTTAAGTTCAAAGTTTGGCAATCAGATTTGAAAAAATGATTTTCAAAGTTTGGTAAATGTTTTTTTGAAAATGGTTTTCAAAATTTAGTAAATGTTTCATTAAAAAATAGTTTTTGAAAATTTGGTAGATGTTTGTTGAAAAATGATAATGGGATAATCACAATTAATCCCTAGACTTTAGGGTATTTACAAGATTAAGTCATTAAGCTTCAACTATAAATACCCTAGCTCATTTAGCTTCAAAATCATCCCAAAAATCATTTCTTTCTCCCAATACTAAATAGCTTTCTTGTGAGTATTGAGTGTTTTGTAAACACTTATAAATTTTATCTCTTAGTAAAAGATCTGTAGCAATCCGGAGATATAAGCAAATTGACTGAACTCCGTTATCAATTTTTGGGTATTATTTTTCCGCTTTTATTTCACATTCTCACTAATCTGGTTATAGGGAAATCACTTGTTACTCGTTTTATTTCCCAACAATTGGTATCAGAGCTTTTGGTTGTGAATTTTGTCAATTTTTGTGATATTACTATTTATTACTATTCACGTGAATAGTGAATAGTAAAATTTTGTCGGCGATACGAATTTGTCGACGGAGGTGTTCTAATACACGGTGGTTCACGAAAATTGTCAGAACGATCCAAAGAAGCCAGATTCGAGTGGGAGCGATGGCTGCAGACGAAGGGAAAGTGAAAATTGAAAAGTTCGATGGTACGAACTTTAGCTTTTGGAAGATACAGATTGAAGATTTTATGTACCAAAAAAATCTATATCAACCTCTCTCAGAAAAGCAACCAGAGGGCATGAAGAATGAAGACTGAGCTATTCTCAACAGACAAGCCCTCGGAGTTATCCGACTGACGTTATCCCGCAATGTTGCTTTCAACATAGCAAAGGAAAAGACCACGACGGGTCTTATGGCGGCTCTCTCCAGTATGTATGAGAAGCCATCGGCCTCAAACAAAGTTCATTTGATGAGGCGATTGTTCAATTTGCAAATGGCGGAAGGGGCATCAGTGGCTCAACACCTAAATGAACTCAACACAATCACAACCCAGTTGTGTTCCGTGGAAATTGAATTCGATGATGAAGTTCGAGCTTTAATTCTCTTATCATCTCTACCAGATAGTTGGAATGCTACTGTTACAGCAGTTAGCAGCTCGTCAGGAAATAGTAAATTGAAATTCAACGATGTTCGAGATCTGGTACTAAGCGAAGAAATTCGACGGAGAGAATCGGGTGAAGCATCAACCTCCTCAGCCTAGCACACGGAGTCTAGAGGGAGAACTTCAGAAATAAATTCAAATCGTGTAATATCCAAATCCAGAAGGGGAAAATCAAGACCAAGAAAGAAAGATTTTACCTGTTATAACTGCGGCAAGAAGGGTCACTTTAAAAAAGATTACCGAGCACCGAAGAAAAATATCGACGCACAGGAATCTGCCAATATGACAGAGGATACAGGTGATGCCATGATTATAAGCGTCAACAGTCCGATTGAATCATGGATCTTGGATTCAGGAGCATCTTTCCACTCCACCCCATGCCGAGAAATCATGGAGAACTATGTCAGTGGTGATTTTGAGAAGGTTCATCTAGCTGATGATGAAACCTTGAAGATCGTCGGAAAAGGAGACATCCGATTAAAGTTGCCAAACCAAACCACCTAGACGCTGAAAGGAGTAAGACATATTTCTGGCCTCAAAAGAAATTTGATTTCTTTAGGACAGCTTGATGGAGAAGGATATAGCACAACATTTTCAGGCTGTGAATGGAAGATTACCAAAGAAGCACTCGTCATTGCTCGTGGTAAGAAGACTGGTACTCTCTATGTAACCTCAAATTTAGAGAATATCATTGCAGTAGCAGATGCTGATGGAAAATCAAACTTATGGCACCAAAGGCTTGGTCATATGAGCGAGAAAGGGATGAAGACACTTTTGTCACAAGGAAAGCTGTCGGATCTAAAGAGTATAGATGTCAGACTATGCGAGGATTACATCTTTGGTAAACAAAAGAAAGTCAGTTTTACAAAGATTGACAAGACACTCAAGGCAGAAAAGTTAGAGTTGGTTTATACTGACGTATGGGGACCATCTCCAGTTCCATCTCTTGCAGGCTCATTATATTATATCACCTTCATCGATGATTCTACAAGGAAAGTGTGGGTTTATTTTTTGAAGAAGAAATCAGAAGTCTTTGATACCTTCAGAAAATGAAAGGCCATGATGGAAAATGAGACTGGTTTGAAAGTCAAGCGGTTGAGGTCTGACAATGGAAGAGAGTACAAAAATAGAAGATTCAGAGATTTCTGCGCAAACAATGGAATCAAGATGGAGACAACAGTTCCCATGACACCGCAACAGAATGGCGTAGAAGAGCGCATGAACAGAACTCTGATTGAACATGCCAGAAGCATAAGGATATATGCCAGATTGCCCAAATTTCTATGGGCTGAAGCTATCAACACTACAGCTTACCTAATCAACTGTGGGCCCTCAATTCTCTTGGATGGTGAAATACCGGAGGAAGTTTGGAGTAAGAAAGAAATAAACTTTTCACACTTAAGAGTGTTTGGTTGTATTTCTTATGTACACATAGGCTCTTCTGAAAGAAGTAAACTTGATGCTAAGTCCAACAAATGTGCCTTTGTTGGTTATGGTGGTGATGAGTTCGGTTACCGATTTTAGGACTACGAAAATCGGAAGATCATCAGAAACAGAGATGTCATTTTCAATGAGAATGTGATGTACAAAGACATGTCAACCATAAAATCAAGTAGCTTAAATATCGAAGCTGAAACAAAGGAATATGCTGAGTTCGAGGATATTTCTGGAAATGATGTTCAGATCAGTCCTGAAGCAGTTCAAGAAGAACTAGGCACACCAGAACTAAGACGCTCCTTCAGAATTCCTAAACCAACCCAGCGTTATTCGCCTTCTTTACACTACTTGTTGCTGACTGACAATGGTGAACCAGAGTGCTATGATGAAGCAATGCAGGTGGAGGATTCAGTCAAGTGGGAGTCTTCCATGAAAGATGAGATGGACTTGCTTGTGTCAAATCAGACGTGGGAATTAGTTGAATTACCACCAAGCAAGAAAGCGCTCCATGACAAGTGGATTTACAGGATCAAAGAAGAGCACGATGGGAGCAAACGCTACAAAGCAAGATTGGTTGTCAAAGGCTTTCAGCAAAAAGAAGGTATTGACTACAATGAAATTTTCTCTCCAGTCATAAAATTGTCTACAATCAGACTGGTGTTGAAAATTGTAACTGCAGAGAATTTACATCTTGAGCAGTTAGATGTAAAGACAGCTTTCCTTCATGGTGATTTGGAGGAAGAAATCTATATGAGGCAGCCAGAAGGCTTCATAGAGGCAGGCAAGAAAAACCTGGTATGCAGGTTGAAGAAAAGCTTGTATGGTTTAAAACAAGCTCCTAGACAGTGGTACAAGAAGTTCGATAACTTCATGAGTAGCAGTGGTTTTACCAGATGCCAAGCAGATCATTGTTGCTACATCAAGAGGTTCGACAACAACTTCATTATTTTATTGTTGTATGTTGATGACATGCTCGTTGCAGGCTCAGACATGCAAGAGATTATAAACTTGAAGCAAAAATTGTCGAAGCAGTTTGCTATGAAAGATCTGGGTGCTGCAAAGCAGATTCTTGGGATGAGGATCAAGAGAGACACAAATTCGGGGACTTTGATGTTATCACAGGCTGAGTACATCAACCAAGTACTCTCCAGGTTCAACATGCAAGATGCTAAACCATTAAGTACACCTTTAGGTGTTCATTTTAGACTCTCCAAAGAACAATCACCAAAGATGGAGGAAGAACGTGCATACATGGTGAAGGTGCCCTATGCCTCAGCAATTGGAAGTCTGATGTATGCCATGTGCTGAGTTAATCGATTGACGGAATCGGCCAAGAGGGGGTGAATTGGCAATTAAAATTTTGGTGGAAGCTTTTGTAGAAAATTGAAAGTAATTGCAAAGCGATTTAGAGTGGTTCGACTTTCTCAACCAAAGTCTACGTCCACTACATTATCTATCCACACTAAGAATTTTTCACAAATTCACTAATTTGTCTTTCTTTTGAGGACAAAGAGTAACCTTACAAACCCTCAAGAATTATACCC